ATATATATATATATATATATATATATATATATATATATATATATATACATTAATATAAACTACTACTTGTACTACTATTCCTATTTCACAGTTTTTCACTTATTGCGGGGCTTCAGGGTACAGATCCCCCGCGATAAACGAGAGACTACTGTATATAAATAATGTGGGTCAAAACATTCCTGATTCCTCCTTGCATCTTTATGCCGACAATACAGTTATTTATTGCCGAACTAACACAGTTGCAAAGGTTTTCCAGCTTCTACAGTCTGCATTTGACATCATCCAGTCAGATTTATTCTGTCTCAAACTAAATGCTAATTAAACCAAAGGGATGTTGTTTTCCAACAGAAAGTTGGTGCCAGCAGTTATTTCTCCTATCTTATCCATGCATGGTATTCCTATTGAGTTACAGATTCTTACAAATACTTGGGAATTTTGGTCGATGCACATCTCTCTTTTAAACCACATATCGAAAACTTGATAAAGAAACTGAAATTAAAACTGTGTTTCTTTTTCAGAAATAGATCTGGCTTAACTCTGAATGCTAGAAAACGCTTTGTACATTACTTTCCTACCAACCATTGACTACAGTGATATCGGTACATGAATGCCATCTTTGCAGATGTTGGATGCTGTCTACCATGGTGTGCTAAGATTCATAACTGGTTGTAACTACTGAACCCATCACTGCACTCCACTCAATGGTCAGTTGGTCATCATTAACTTCACACAGGCTCTCACACTGGTTCATTTTCATCTATAAATCCCTCCTTGGTCTGCTACCTTCTTATATCTCCACCCACATGTCACGTCGTCAGTGCAGTTACAGCGTGCGTTCTCAGGCCATCATTACCTGCAGCGTCCTCTCAGTGTGGACTGAACTTGATGAAAAGGCCTTTTTCTACTGAGCTCCTGCAACCTGGAACAACTTGCAACAGGAACTGAAGCTGTCCACCTTAATTTCTTTAGGAGATTTTAAACAATTGATAAGATCAATAGAAAAATCAAAGCAAATATGTTCTTGTTTTTAGTTTTTTACCTTGTTTTATGGCACTTTGATTTATTGTTTTATACACTACCTTATTTTAATTTAACGTTTACTGTAGTTTATTGTTGTCTGTCTAAAAAGATATCTCTCTTGTAAACGAGTCCTTGTGACTCAATGAGAATAATAATAAATAAAGGCTGAATGAAAAAACACATTTCTAAATGTAAAACTAATAAAATATAAAAATGTACAGAAGACATATAAAAGGGGAAAAATATTTATAAAAGACTATTTTAAAGTATTTTTTTACAGATTAGACAGGCAGTTTCATGTCCCTTGTGCCGGTAAAGGATGTGTAAGTGAAGCACAATGGCGCCCCCTGTGGTAAAAATAAAATTTTCTGAATTAAAAAACTGTCAGCTGCTTCACTTCTATATATAAAAAAAGGAGCTCTGAGTTCAGATGGAAAGAGTTGGACCATCTGAACAGAAAGCAGAAAATTACAAACAAGAAGCACATTATACTGACTGTTATTTTTTTTAGTTTGCTTTCTCTGCCATCTGTCCGGTTTACCACATGAAACGTTATTTCTTTTCTCTTCCCAGTGCATGACTAAACGGCTTATTAGTTATAACCTCAGCTGATCCTGAGGATCCAGACTTTTCTCCATTTTGCCCTGAGAATTGCTGGTCAGCGTACAGAACGTTTGACACGTTGTCTAGTCATGTGTGAGGCAGAGAGATTGGGATTTCTTGCTTTCTGACTGTACACCCCCTCCAGTCTAACATATCAGTATTCTTTAATTAAACAGTTTAAATAACATTAAAACATATCATTTCATTGCAGAAGGTGTTCGTCTTGTGCTGAGAAAGGACAGTTATAAGCATTTTGGTCCAACTTTGTAAATGATGTTCTGCCTGATCTCATGTAATATTAAGACATCTCACAAGATGAGGTGGTGCTCAGAATCTGCGTTGAAGATAACTCTCAGCTACAACCTCACTATAGGCACCCTCGACCCCTGTGACCCGGAAAAGAAGAAGCAGGTAAAGATGATGGATGGATGGAAACAAGGCTGATTCACATCTCTCTTGATCAGGTAGTGGTGAAAGTATGAGTTAGAAAGGACTCTCAGCTACTACCAAATCAAATTTTACCTTAGCGTCTGTAAAATGGGCTGAGTTACAGCCATTTTTATATTTGATAAAGTTGTGAGGTGCAGCAGCCATAATGAATGACTAAAGTTAATTGGATTAATATGTGCGTCTGAACTGTGTTTTATTAAAATCTGTCCAGTAGTTCATTAGATATTTTGCTAACACTGCAGACAAACACAGTCACTCACACAGATGCAGGAGAAAACATTATCATCGTTTTGTTTTGGTGTCTGACTGTGATATGAGTGTCTGTCTTCAGATGTGAAGTTTCAATGACACAACTTCATAGAAGTTATTTTAAAAATTATATTCAATGCATCAAATTATAAGTTGCTTTGTCATGAACAGGATTTTCCTACTTACACAGTGCAGCCATCTCTTTGGGTAGGTCTGCTCCGAAGCGGCCAAATAGGTGGCTGCTGGCCAGCAGGTCGAAGGGGGAGTGGCTCCTCATGGAGTTAAAGGTGAACGGGTACATGGCACGAGCGAATCCCGCCATGTGACGCATTTGGTGCTCTCTGTTTGTGGCCATCGCGAGAAGCGCTGCTGGATATTTAGCGGACGTTTCTCTGAATTTCCTTCTGCTTCCTCGTCCTGCTTCTTTGTCAGGGTCCAGCGGTGAGCTTGAAATAGCGTCCTGCCATCCAGCACCGCTCTGCTGCTCTTCTGCTGGGCCAGAAAGAAGAAAAGATGACCTGAAGAGGAAGAGGCCTGCGGGGAGCCTAGAAAATGTGTCCTGTCCAGGTCAAGACTGTAAAAAAAAAAAGGAAAAGAAAACAACATAGTTACATCCTGGACCCAAAGTTTGGTTGTTTCTTCAACAGAACCGTAGGACTCGTCTTAAAGCAATAGTGCAGATCGTCTGAAGCAGGGGAATGTGGCAAGGATATGGACAATTAATATCTTACCTGTTGTAGCTAGATTGTCAAAGCAAGCCAAAATTAAACAATATTTTTACAAACTGATTTAGTTCAAGCCATCAGGAGCCATCTACAACAGGTAAGATATTAATTGTTCATAATCTTACCACAGAACCCCATTTCAAAAGATCTGAAACATGCAACAGCAACAAATAAATAAATAAAGTGTTGACAAAATTAATTAGCAGAGCGGTAACTGTGTTATATTCTGCTGCGTTTGTTCGTCCTAAACAGTGCAATAATTTCAGGCCATGCCATATGATTTCAGTCAGCACAAGCGTACAATAAAGGGTCTCTCTGTTCTCGCCGCCAGCCGACCCACAAACAGCTCCGGCCACAACATGGGCAGTTTAACCCTTTATGAAAACTGACGCTCACGTCACTGCCAGTCTCACATTACCCAGTATCACTTTGAAGGCAAGTGGCTGACGAGCACAACTGCTCACGCTTTTGTTCTGAGCGGTGTCAGAAAAGCTAAATGTGTAGCGCTGCCTTTCTTCCATAACTCCTGCCCCCCGTCAGTGAATTTATGAGTGGGTGGAGTTGAGCCCTCTGTGATGAATCTGTGGTAAATACAGCTCAGTCAAAGAATGCCTTGTTGTTCTGAGCCTGCTGCAGCATGGGGATCAAACACCCGGGTGGGTAACACACAGTGTGTTTACAAATGTCCTACACTGAACTACTCTGTGTAACGTTCTAAATAAACAACCTGAATTAAAAAAAAAATCTTGTATCGTGTGAGATCATGCAGAATGGTATTTTCAAAACTTTTCCAAATTATTAAAAAATGTATTTGTCAGCATAAAAATATGATTAACGTTTAAAACGTTGGCTAATTTTCTTTAATTTACAAAAGAAAATTAAAAATTAAAAGGATATACAGTAGTCTCTCGCTACTTCTCGGTTCAACTTTCATGGACTCGCTCTTTTGCGGTTTTTCAACGATTGTCAACTTTAATATTACGTGATTGGGACGGTACATATAAAAAGTTAATGAAAAAAACATATTTCGGACAGGCACCGCCGTTTTGTAGTTTTCTTTCAATAAGCCTATACTGAAAGGCCAGTCAAAAGAACTACACTACCCATAAGCCAACAGTGCTTCCGGCTGCTGCTTTCTGCTGAAATGGAGGGAAAGTTTTGCAACGCAAATCTACGCTATCTATGAAGCTCACCCGGACTGGCAGGAAAGCTGCAAATAATCCTGAAGCACAATTATCCACACACACATCAATCTGGACGGGGCAGTGTGCTTCGTTGCTTCAGGGTATGTCTGCCAAACCAGAACAGAGCCCGACCAGAACCGAGCTGCTGTTCTGCAAAGTTGGTGAGTAAAATTTTGCAGTACGTATGTTGTAAAAATTACATAAAGGAATGCACAATATTAGATTTTTGGCTGATATCCAATATGCTAATTTGTTCAAACTTATTTGGCTGATAACCAATACCAATACTGATATATTTTTCCCTAGACATACTTTCAGAGATTACATAGCTTTCTCTGCTGTGGAATTAAAATACTACATTATTCTGCATGGTCTTTGTCTATTTGGCCTGCAACAAATACAAAATGCAGATGCCAAAAAGGGGCTGAAAATGATGCAACACTTCAACTTGGATTATGTTTAAGGTCAAATTTATTCATGACATTTACTCTCCCTAACACAATGACAACACTTGAACAGTGCAAATTTGTACATTTTCACAAATCTAAACTCAACCTGTTCACAAGCGAAAAGTTAAAAGTGCTTAAGTAGTAGTACATTAATAGATATACACAACAGTTTCTTAAATAAAAAATTTTAAAAATTCATCATTACTCATCGTAATGGTCGGAATGGTTGTTTTTGAGATGGTCAATTAGGTTTGAAGTGTTGTAGGACTTTGTTTTCACTCCTCCTCCCATCACTGATGCTGAGCAGTCATTGCAAAGCAAATAGCAGTACAGCTAACAGTTTCCAACACTTTAAAAAACTTCCACACCGCCGACATTTTCACTTCTTCCTCTCCCGCCGTGATCAGATCAGGCATGCGTGATGTCATAACGTTGTGCTGGCGCTGCAGACATCCTTGTCACTGGGTTGTCATACAAGAACAGCTCCTTTTGAGATATATATATATATATATATATAAACATGAAAATACAAAAATATAAATAGTATTCCTACTTTAGGGTCTAAAAGTCCAAAAAGCAGCATTTGCAAAGTAAGTGGAAATCTGCATTTAAAGTAAGATTCAGGAGGAAGTACATCACATCTTGAGAAAACTTCCAAAGAAACTATTCTTCACTGATGTGAAGGTTGTGCTGCCAAGTTCTGACCCACAATTAGCGTGTCAGAAGTTGAAACACAACAAAGCTGACATTGCACTTCCATTGTCTTCCCCAAAGTGGAAATGTGTTATGACGAGGGGTATTTTTAATCCCATTGACAAATAACTGGACAAAATGTTCCCTGATCTTCTCCACAATCATCTGCGCTGCTTTTATTAGAGCGAAATTCTTCGTCCGCGCACACATGTGCAGCGCTCGCTCACAAAGAAAGCCACAAAGTCAGCTCTGTTAGTGTTGTTTTTAAAGTCAGATTTCCCATACCGACTTACTTTTCTGCAACTGCTCAGCTCTTGCTGCGGTTTTTCCTCACTGTGAGGGCCCGTCGGGGAGAGTCCCTGCGACTGTTTCCACAAAGGCTTGTAGTGTTCGCCGATTAAAGAGCGCCAAACACAGGTTGGCTGAAGTGTGCAGTCATTTAAGACACAACTATACATTGCGCGGAGCAGCCACATTTTGCAAACGTCAACGCACGCGCCTCTTGGAACAGAACGCAAGGCACAAACAAGAAGAAACATGCACGCAGATGTTCCGTAGCTTTGTTCAAGCGATGGGTGGAAAACGCACAACGTTCACACACTCTGAAGCACCATTGACGGCGGCAATTGACCTTGAAGAATGGAGTAGTAAACACAGGACGGAGGATCCAACCACAGGCGCAGAACCTTCAAGGGTCTCTTTTAACCGGTCCGATTCAAAGAGCGCAATCGGTGCTATGAAAACCAGATGCATGAAAGAATTTAGATGAAGAAAAAATAATGTGTTGAAAGCCGAGGAAAAGATGTAAGGGGTGGAAGGAAACAAAGGGAAAGAAGGAGAGAAGAGGGAGTCGTACACATCTGGTGTAAGAAGTGAATGGAGCAGAATTAATTAAAACCACGCTGGAAACTGGATTAATAAGAGAAAGAGCTGATTGTGTTTTAACACTGGGGGAGGGCGGCTTGTGGAAAACAGACAGAAAACACAGAATTTTATTCCCAGTAATAAAATAATGTGTGCCCAAGCCAAGAAATGGTTTCTGTCCCTCCACTGAACACCCCCTGCACCATATTTTCTCTCTGAGGGAAATACACCTTGGGTAGAGCAACAAAAGCAGCGCTGTGTGTCTGAGCCTCCGGGCCTCAATGCTGCTTTTATGAGACCTTGCTGGGTCAGGTCAAACTGGGTCACCTGGTCCCGCGACTGCTGACACACACACACACGAAAATAAATGATCTTTTTTTCTATGGCAATTAAAATCAGACCGAGCATAAAAAGTTTTCCCTTTTCCCCAACGAAAGTCATTTCAAACCACATTAGTAATTTTATTTTTTTTACAGAACCTCCGTACTTGGTTGCACAGTCAGCACGAGTTTGTGCGGTGTATGTTTTGAATCGCATGTTTTAAGTGTGCAGCATGATCTGGATCTAGTTATCCCGGGTGCAAATGTGACTAAATTAACTGCTTTTTAAACTCAGATCAGCTTGAGTCATGGTTATAAAACTACACAAAAAGAAGGAACTGGTTCTCAGAAACCATCTGCACCAGTTGGGTCTTTTTTTTATTGGTGCCAAAATAACATGCATTCACAGTAGCAGGTCAGCAGACATCAAAACATTTTGTTTTTTTTATTCTATGTTATCTGGTCTTTGGGCTCCTTTAGCCAGGATTAAGTAATCTAATAAAACTGGTTCTGCTTTGTTTGAGAAAATTCTGTTCACAACAAAATGATGTTTGTCAGGTTTTATCCCTGTTTACAACTAAATCACAGATGATGTCTGATTAAAAGTTGGATTGAAATGCTTTTTATAACATCCATCCATCCATGCATCCATGCATCCATGCATCCATCCATCCATCCATCCATCCATCCATCCATCCATCCATCCATCATCTTTATCTACTTCTTCTTTTTTGGGTCACTGGTGTCCATATCCACCAGTCACTGTGCAAGAAGCGGGGGACAAGGTCTCCAGTCCATCATAGGGACACATAGAGACAAATCGGTCTTTTTGCTGGTTTATTTGTGTTTCTTTAGTCTTTATTTCCATTTCTGATCCTTGTGTTTGACTCTGTGTTATTTTTCACTCTCTCCAGATAATGATCACCCCAGGTGCACTTCATTCCTCGCTCTCCTCTGCCTTATTTAAACCTCTCCTGTCCGCCACTCAAAGGTCTGCTTGTTAGCTATGTTTACATGCGCAAAATTGTTTTATCGGATTGAAATGTATTCAGATTAACTAATCCAAATATATCGTTTCCATGGGCACAATCCGTTCACGACGAGCGTTTACATGCAGCGGGCTTTTATTCTGAATAGAAGTACTGACATGCGCAGATTGGGAACTCTCATTAAAACAAATCCACAGAAGAAGAAGTTCTACTTCCGTGATGAACGTAAACAAACCTGAGCGCCCAAGATGGACTCGTGCCAGGTTGTAATGATGGTGGAGACGTTCCTGCACTCCCTGATTGAGCTACAGGTAATACAGATCATTTTGAGCTCTTTCAAAATTAGAAAT